CAAGTCCCACATTCTCTTATTACCTGCTAAATACAAAATATGTATAGGCTCTACCATTTCCCGTCCTCCCACGGGTGCATCCAAACCCTCCTCCTCCGTTTGGATAAGGTAAGCTCCTCAAGTCCCCCACCCTCAAGGACTGAACTGGCTTCCTTTTCCCAAGCAAGCTTGGCTCGGGCTCTCCTTTAGATCTCGGACTGCACTCTGCTCTGCCTCAGTCACTCCCCAGCTGACAGGTCCCTTCTGGGATGCCCTCCCTGCCCCCCACACACCCTTTTGCCTGTCTCTCCATTAGGCACCCCTCCTATGTACTCCCACAGCACGCTGCCGCTCTGCCCGTTTACTGTCTGTCTCCGGCGTTAAGAGTGTAAGGTCCATCTATTGTCCCCATAGCAACTAGTGCATAATAGTGTTCAGTAAAGATTTGTTGAATAGTGGGTAAACTCTTAACTTGCAAATCAGTCCCTGTCCACCAGCCACTAACCCCCTCCCCACCCCACACACGCAGGCTTCATCGTGGAGCCTCAGCTCTTCACAGGGCATGGAAGGTCCTCCTAGTGCAGGGGTGCTGTTCCATGACTCCTCCCACTTCTCCCGAGACTCCTGCCCTCACTTTATGCTCTTGTAACAAGTCACAGGTATGCTACAGTTTCCAGCCTCCATAGCTTTGTCAGGCGGTACCCACCCAATCCTGTCCAGGAAGTGTTTCTGACCCATCACTACCACTACCACCACGAGTCAGAATCTTTTCTGGGCATTCTTGAGATAGCCTACGCATCCTCCATCGGGACACTTATCTGGAAAGTAACTAATTCGAGGATTTAGTCAACATTTACTCAGTGTCTTCTATGCGTACCAAATACTGTGCCAGATGTGAGAACATAAAAATTTTGACACGGTCCCTCCTCAAGCAGCTTTATCCAGTTGTATTTTCAAATGATCCATTTTTGAGCTTTTCCCACCCTGTACTGTGGGCTCTCCAGAATGGTAGCTGTGCTTAACCATTTCTGTATCCTCAGTACCACGTGGTGTCTGCACAGAGTAGGTGTGTAATAAACGAACTAGAGTGCGAGGGGGTGTCGGGACCTCCAAGGGCCAAGAGGGCTGGGGTCGGTGAGCCCTGGGGCAATGCCCTAGAGCCCCCATGTCCAGGTACACCAGCTGTTTCTCTTGGAGGAGGCACTGCTTTGCAGGGTCTGGCCTTGGGCTTGCTTTGCCTCCTAGAAGTCCTGGGTATGCCCTTAGCCTGAGCCCAAGGACGCCAGGGGGCCTACGTCCCTTGCGCTCTGGTGCATTTTCAGTAATTTTGCTCAGCGCATTCAAGACCTCAGGAAGTTGTGGGTCACAACCTCTCATGGGCATCTCCATATAGCTTTTTCAGCAAGATGTTCCTTCGTAGTTTTCTGTGTCCCAGTTTATGATGAGCTGTCAGAGTTTGGAGATTGACAGATAGATGGTGGCAGACAAAGGATCCCTTGTGACCTGAAAGACTGGAACACACTGTGTCCACACCCTGCCCTCTGTCCACTTTCCTTCCGTCCAAGGATGGAATACACGTACGATCCTAGCTCTGGCCAGCAAGGGCTGCTGTCCAGGTTCTGAGCAAAACTTCCCCTTCAGCCCCCCTTTCCTCCATGCATACGTCTATCATTCATTCACTCACTCATTCAACAAACATATGAGCCCTTCTTTATCCCTCATGATTCAGAGCTCTGGGGATATAAGTCAGCCCCAATTCTGAGCCTCTAAGAGCTCAGAATTGCAGGCTTTTCATCTGGTGGCCTCAGTGCCCAGCACATGGCGGGCCCTTGCAGTGCCAGTGAGTTAACAGGAGTCCCACAGTCATGTTTTGCTGAAGGAAAAGAAACACCCACAGAGCCACACCCATGGCTCCAGCAGACCTGGAAGCCCAAGCATTCTCCAGAGGGCTCCCCACATCCTGCTGCCCCCAAGAAATCCTCTGGAAACCACGTATCATCGTTTTAATACTGTGTAATACTTTCTTTTAAAATACAGTCTTTTCTGAGGTAGACAGACCAAACTGCAGAGCATCGTCAGACAGGAGATAAATACGTCCATGTACAACACGCATCAAAATGAGGTAGAAATGGTTACAGCTGGAGGAGAGGACCCCAACCCCAATCTGGGCAGAGGAAGGAGGAGGACGGCTTGCCCTCCCCCCATCCCTGCCCCTGGATTCTTTGGTATGCCCCCCTCAAACACTGCCAGAGCTGGACCTGCCCTTCCCCACCCGCCGCAGTGCCCATGAGGTAGGTGCTATAGACTGGAGGCTGTCTCCTTGTGCAAAGCTCCCCAAGGCCAGGAGAGGAGGCAGTGGGGGCCCTGGGTCCTGGTCAGTGAGCTCTTCCCCCAACCCCCAGAGCTGCCTGCCTCTTGAAGGGAAGGCTGGGATCCCAACCCCACCTCCCCAATGCCCTCCACCCCCCCCCCCATACACATATACCCACCTGAGAGGCCCTGCTCACTCCCTGCTCCCTGCAAAGGCCTTTCAGAGCCAAGACCCTGCACCCACTGCTTCTGAGGCACCAAAGCCCTGCAATCAGCCAGCTCCAAGAAGTGGAAGGCCAGGGACCAAGGGGGGGAAAGGGGAAAACAGAGCAGCTTTCTTGTTAGCACTCCTAAGCCAGCACAGGCCCTTAGCACCTTGGCACCTGAAATGTGCCCCACGGACTTCCTTCCAGCTAGTAGTGGGAGGTGGTACAGAGACTGCAGGAGCTGTAAGGGTGGCAAGGAACAGGAAAGGCGGCTAGGGTGGGAGAGAGAGTTGGGGTGACAGCTTGTCCCCCCACCTTTAAACCAAAGGTCAGAGTTGTGAAATGGGCTCCCTGAGGGGGAGGGGCGAAATGCCAAAGCCCCATCCAAGGAGAGCTGGTGGGAGGAACCCCCCCCCCATACACATATACACACCTGAGAGGACCTGCTCACTCCCTGCTCCCTGCAAAGGCCTTTCAGAGCCAAGACCCTGCACCCACTGCTTCTGAGGCACCAAAGCCCTGCAATCAGCCAGCTCCAAGAAGTGGAAGGCCAGGGACCAAGGGGGGGAAAGGGGAAAACAGAGCAGCTTTCTTGTTAGCACTCCTAAGCCAGCACAGGCCCTTAGCACCTTGGCACCTGAAATGTGCCCCACGGACTTCCTTCCAGCTAGTAGTGGGAGGTGGTACAGAGACTGCAGGAGCTGTAAGGGTGGCAAGGAACAGGAAAGGCGGCTAGGGTGGGAGAGAGAGTTGGGGTGACAGCTTGTCCCCCCACCTTTAAACCAAAGGTCAGAGTTGTGAAATGGGCTCCCTGAGGGGGAGGGGCGAAATGCCAAAGCCCCATCCAAGGAGAGCTGGTGGGAGGAAGAATACGGCTCTCAGGAGGAAGGGAGCCCAAGCCTGGGCTTCTGGGGGAAAGTTTGGGTGGGACTGAGAATAAACCCCCAATGTTTACTCAGGGGAACACAGCCTGCCCACCTCTTTCACCCCCTCATAGCCCCTGGAGCTCTAGACCTAGGACCCTACGAGAATGGGAGAGGTACAAGTCCCCACAGAACCTTCTCCTGTAAAGGATGCTCATTCACCCCTCCTCAGGGCCTCCCAGCAGGCCCGGGAGGCGGAGTCTGTAGCCAGTTTTGTGCCCAACCACTTGTGGCCAGACTATCTTCCCTCCCAAGGAAATCTCCTTAGTGTGAGTTACAGGAGACCTCTGCCTAGAAAAGGGCCAGGTGGGGTGACCTTGCTGGGGACTTTCTGCCTGGGTCATCTTCCCATCTGGGCCCTCTCAGCCTACTTTCTGGGTCTGGGGCAGGCAGTAGACAAGGGCATCCCAACTCTGGATAACCAACCTTCCACAGAAAACACCCCACTAAGCTGAGGGGTGGGCCCAGCAGGAAGGGAACAAGACCTACCTCCTCCCAAATTCCACAACCCAATTCTCCTCACCCCTACCTACAACCTTGGGCCTGAGCAGGAAGCCCTAGCAATACATTCTGCTTCTGCCCCAAGAAGCACAGAGGTTTAAGTGTGGCCTCTGAGTCTTCCTCTCCCCTTCCCCACTCAGAAAGGTCTCACTATCTGAGTCTTCTGGGAGAACCTGCTTCCTTGGGAGTGAAGGAGTAGGTGGGGACACACACAGGAGAGCAGCCAAAATCTAACATTCTTTCTGAGGTCAGTTTCTTCCTGAGTTGTCAAAAGAAAAAGAAAAACAGCAAATTCTACACATCTTACAAAAATAAGAGGCCTAAAATATTAAACAAGCTACATTTCTGGGATTTCCCCCCTCAAAAACAAAAAACAACAAAAAACCCTTCTTTGGGTGGTTCTTTTTTTTTTTTTTTTTTTTTTTTTTTTTTTTTCTTGCTTGACTCCCACAGACCCAAGGTTTCAGCTGGGTGATGGATACGGGGTGGGAGGTGACTCCCTACCCCTCCTCTTCAGCCCCTAAACCTCCAGATCTCCTGAAAGGGACACTGCAGACTTTGAACGTGAGGGACAGAAGGCAGGGAGAGGGACCAAGAGACAAGAGAGGCTGGAGAGCAAGGGATGGGGACAGAAGCACAGAGGGTGATAGATGGAGAGACAGGGGAGGGAGAAGCAAAAGAGAAACAGGGCCGGCGCCGGGGGGCAGGGTGGGGCGACGGGGAAAGAAAACTACGCGAACACAGAGAAAGGGGGAAGTGGAGGAGGGGGAGGGAGCCATTCAGAAAGCAAGGAGACAAAAGGATTGTGGCGAGAGAGCAGGAGTTCCTTCGGCCCCGGGCCGACCGTCCGCGGGGCGGAGATGGCGAGCTTCCCGTCCACAATAAATACGAAAAACCTGAGTACACAGCGCATACGGCATCTATCTGCCTAGCAGAAGCATTTTCCTTCCCACGAAAAAAAAACATCCACCGGCAGCCCCCTTCTCTCCCCCACCCCATATCCCTCACTCCGCAAAGACGTCCCTCCCGAACAGAGGGCCGGGGACGGGGGCGGCGGCTCCCGCGGCCTCACGGAGCGCCTTCAGTGTCCGAAGCCGTACATTTTGTCCCACTCCACGAACGAGTCCAGCTCCTTGGGCGAGGCCCTAGGGCCTACCTTGGCCAGCGCCGCCTCCAAGTCCTTGTAGGAGAGGGGGCGCTGCAGCCCCGGGAGGCCCGCCCCGGCCGCCGCCTGCTGGCACAGCTGCCCCAACTCGCCCCCGGAGAAGCCCTGGGTGCCCTGCACCAGGGCCGCCAGCTCCCGCTCGCTCAGCGCGCAGCCCTGCTGGGCCAGCGCCCGCTGCAGGATCTGCCCGCGGGCCGGGCCGTCGGGCAGCGTCACGTAGAAGCGGAGAGCGAAACGCCGGCGAGTCGCCTCGTCCAGGGCCGCGGGCCGCGAGGTGGTGCCCACGACCAGCACGCCGTCGGCTCCCGCACCGCAGCCGCCGTCCAGGCAGGCCAGGAGCGGCGCCTGCAGCGCGCCCGCGGCGCTCGTGCCGTCCTCCCGAGCCGACAGCAGCGCTTCCAGCTCGCTGATAAGAAGCACCGCGGGCGGGCGGCAGCGCGCAGCCGCGAAGGCGGCCTGGAGGAGGCGCGTGCCCTCGGCGGAGCCCGGCGCGGCCAGCGTGGCTCCGCGCAGGCGCAGCAGCGTGGCGCCCAGCTGCGTGGCGAGGCAGCGGCCCAGCAGTGCTTTGCCGGCGCCCCGCGGCCCAAAGAGCAGCACGGTCCGCGGCGGGCGCGGGCTGCCGGGGTAGGCGGGCGGCCTCAGCAGGGGCCACACCAGCTCCTCCTCCAGCGCCGCCTTGAGCGCGCCCTGGCCCGCTACGTCCGCCCACTGCACCGGCGGCCCGCAGTCCACCATCTTGCTGGTCACCAGCTCCAGGGCCCCCGGGTCCACACCTTTGGGAGGCTCCCCGGACGGCACCGCGAAGGCCCCGCGGGGAGCCGGCGCCGGGGATCGCTCCGGAAACTTCTCAAAGGGCTCGAGTTGCGGGCCGTAGACGGGGGAGCCCAGGACCTTGAGGGGGACGCCGCCACCGTACTTGCCTGATGCCTCCTCCGCCGCTCCCGGCGGCTTCGCCCGGAACCCGTTGCCCCGACACTCGCCATTGTCCGCGGCGGGGTAGGAGGCGCCGTCGGCCGCCGGGGCCTTGGCGGGCTCGAAGGCGTATTTGCGGTAGCGGCCCTCGGCGCCTTCGTCGGCCGCCTTGCGCTTCAGCGACACTCCTGCCTCCGAGGCCCCCTGGAAGCCGTAGGAGGAGGGCGGTGGCCGGGACGGGGCGGCTGTGGGCAGGGGCGTGGGCGCCGCCAAGCCCGAGGTTAGGTAGGGGGCCGGGGGCGGGGCGGGCGGCGGCGGGAGGGTCCCGTAGCCCGGCTGCGCGGCGTAGCCTCCCGCTGGGTAGTTGTACAGAGACCCAGAGGGGCCGTAGCCCGGCGGGGGCGGGGGCTGCAGGAGCGCGGCCGGGGGAGGCGGGGGCAGCGCGGCGCCGGTCTGCGTACAGTAACCGGGCGCCAGGGACCCCCCGCCGTAG